GTAGTTCCAACGCTGCAAGAGCGGCCATCCCAGAACGACTGCGACGCTGACCTATAGTTACTGCGCCTGCGAGGGTTGCTCTGGCATGCGTTGTCTGTCGTCCTGCTGCTGGCTTTTTCTTGGTACGATGCGCTGATGGCTGTTCTTGCATGTGTTGCATGCCTTGCATGAGCTGGTCTAGAACGCTGAAGCTGCTGCACCGCGGAGTGTTGATCTATCTACGAGCGAGTGCCCTAGTCTGAATCACTGGCCCAGCCTTCGATCCTGCTGGCTGCCTGCGAAGACACCGACAGAGCTGCAGCAGCCGCCTTAGGCGGCGTAGCTGGAAGCGCATGCACCTGCGGCGCTTGCGAGGACGAGCTGGCGGCAGCTGCGGGGCCCTTCTCCTTGGGCTTCTCGGCGATCTCGGGCTTGCCGTCGTCGGGCTCCTCGTCAACGATCTCGGACTTGTCGTTCGCAACCTTCACCGTCTTCTTGGAGGCGACCTGAGGCTTCTCGGTCATCGGGGCGCCCCCCTCGGCCTTGGACACCTTGCCCTTGCGAGCGTGGTTCTCTTTGGGCGGCGCGCCCAACTCCGCCAGCTTCGCCCTCTTCGCCTCCCTCACGTCGTCTACGTCCTTGATGCCGCCCCTGAGATCCTTCGCCATCGCGTTCATCCACGCAGCTGCCGATTGCTCCTGCCGCTTCACGTCCTCGCCTGGGAACCACTTCACGTTCACCTGGATGATCTGTGGCTCTTTGCCCCGATGGAGCGCGCACAGGCGCTCGATCTCTTTGCTAGGAGGCTGGTTCCACCGAAAGCCAACTTTGATCGCCCTCTGCTTCTCGTCGCAGCCTGTGAACAGCTCGGGCAGGTCATCAGATCCAGAGGCCTTCTTCTTCGCCTTCGCCTTCGCTGTCGTCTTCTGCTTTGCCCCTTCTGGTTTGTCCTTCGCGTTGTACTGCGCCACCGTGATCTGGGGCATGGCTCTCGTGGTCCCGTCCGCCCAATGTGCAATCATAGCAGCTGTGTCTGCTGCGCCGTCTGGAGTGGCCATGCGGTCGCAGTACTCGGGGAAGTCGGACGTCTTGGCATTCCTCTCGGTGCGGAACGCGAGCCTTGCCTCCTGGTCGTAGCCGTAGGTGCACTCGATCTTCTTGGTGTCGACCTCGACCTTCTCGGTGGGCTTGTCGTCCAGCTTCTGCTTTTTCTTCGCAGGAGCCGCATCTGCGTCCTCCACGGTGCTCTCGTCGTCTTGGTAGAAGGAGTCCCCCTCGGAGTCATGCACCTTCTCTTCCTCCTCGCCCCCCTCGTCGTCGGCGCCCTCGTCGAACTCGTTGCACTGCTGCTCCGCATTGCCATCATCTTCGCCATCCTCCTCGGCGGCTTTAGCGTGGGCCTCCTCCTCCTCCTCCGTAGTCTGCTTGAGCTTCTTCGGCACCTCCAGGTCGACGAACCACTTCGGCGCCTTCTGGAGCGACTGCTTGACCGAGAGCTGGGAGACGCGCCGCATCATCGTACGAATTCGTTTGCAGTTCTCCTCCTTCCAGTCGTCGAGATCCGTCTTGGGCAGCTCGAGGTTGTTCATCTTCTGCGAGGCGACTCTCACGAGCGCCCTCTCCAGCGCTGTCGCCGCCACTGTGAGTTTGCCGCCTCTGGCACGCCCGATCGCCACGACGAGGTCGATGTGCTTCGTGATATCCTTGGACACGATGGGCGACTTGCGCAGCTTGTTCCCGCACTTGATGAACGACGGCTGCTTCACAAACTTCTTGAGGGACAGCGCAATGGCCTGCACCTCGTCGTTCTCCGACATCGTCTGCAGTCTGGCTGCAGCAGCAGCGCTCTCCTCGGGAATTGGCAAAAAGGCAGCGGCTCGAGCCAGCCGCTACGGATGACCGACATGCGGTCACGACGAGGACGCAACCTCCACATCAACGGTTGCAACCAGCACCAAGACATGGTGACACGCGAAGGGAAAGGAGGAGGCGGGGGGAGGAGGCGGGATGAGGCGAGCACGAGGAGGCGGGGGAGGAGGAGAACAAAGACGGTTCCCCTCCTCGGGCGGGCGAGCGATCCTCGCCGATCTGCGCCAGCGCGCGAGCCACCCGCATGCCGTCTCTTGGGGCGACTCCATCTGCGCGTCCGCCTCAGGGGGGGAGGCGGGGGGGGGGGCGGTCATTTCATGTGTTTCCTCTCCTCCTCCTCCTCCTCCTCCTCCACGTCGTCATCCTCCTTCATTCGGAATCCGAGCCTCGAGGATCGGCTCCGACATCGACCGCTGCGGGCGGTCGTTCCCCTGGCAGGCATCCATCGGGGTGTCAGTGACCTTCGGGCGGGAAAGAGGGGAGCAGGAGGAAGAGGGCGAGGAAAACAGAGGAGAAACCAACAACGGCGGGTGGGAGGAGGAGGAGGAGGAGGAGCAGGAGGAGGAGGGAAAACATGAGGAGCAGGACGAGGGGAAGGAGGGGAGGAAGAAGGAGGAGGAGAAAGGTAAACCAAAGGAGGAGTAGGACGAGGGGAGAGGTGGAAGGAGGAGGAGGAGGAGGAGGAGGAACAGGGGGGAAGGAGGAGGAGAGGCGGCGGGGGGGAGGATGAGGAGAGGAGGAAACAGGAGAGGTCGAGGGCCTCCGATGCTGAAGGCTCGCCGTCGACCGAGGCAGCCTTCGGGGAGGGGCGTTCCCCTCATTCCCCCCCCCGCCCCCCTCCCCCCTCCTCCTCCTCCTCCTCCTCCCCTCCTCCTCCTCCTCCTGCCTCCTCCTCCTCCTCCCCTCCTGCTCCTCCTCCTCCCCCTCGTCGTCTTCCTCGTCCTCCTCCTCCTTCTCTTCCTCTCTCTTCTCTCCTCCCTCCTCGTGCGCGCCGAACAACCCCAAACAGCAGCGCTGGCACAGTCGAATTTCAAGGTTTAAAACTTGAAATTCGACGGTGCCAGCGGTGGGGTCGATGTATTTTCGCCCGGCCTGCGCAGCCGACGCGGGGAACGGCTCGGACCGCTCGACCGCCGTCGACATGGTTCGAGGCGCCTCGCCGCGTGTCGGGCCCGAAACCTCAACAGCTCGAAGCCGCGCGGCTTCGGAAACAGCAGGCGGGGCAGGGCGACGACGACGAGATTGCAAATGCAACGCACACGGGGGGCGTTAAATGGAGGGGAAGGAGAGAAGAAGGAGGAGAGGGGATGAACGAGGAAGGGGAAGAAGTTTTTTTGATATGCGAACAACGCAACCGCAATATCATCACATGTATAATAAGACTGGAAACTTTCGTCCGTTTGGAAATTCAGACGGCGGCGTGGTGATTTCCACCTAGTGGAAACAAGGTGCCTCTGGGTCCGGAGCTCCCGGGAGCCGAAAACGCATTTTTCGAAGCCAGAAACATTGTTTTTCTATCCCCGTGGCATCCGGCGCCTCCGGAGAGCCTCCGGAGCTCCCGGGAGCCGGAAATTCGAAGCCTGCAACATTGTTTTTCTCTCCCCGGCGTCTCCGGCGCCTCTGGGGAGCCCCCGGAACTCCCGGGACCCGAAAACGTATTTTTTCGAAGCCTGAAACATTGTTTCTCTCCCCGCGGGGCACCCGGCGCCCCCGGAGAGCCTCTGGAGTTCCCGGGGGCCGAGAACGTATCTTCGAGGCCTGAAACATTGTTTTTCTCTCCCCGGGGCCTCTGGCGCCTTCGGGGAGCCTCCGGAACTCCCGGGAGCCGAAGGCGCATTTTTCGTTTTGATGGGTGCAATACTATAAAGCACTAAATATGGCTATTGCGCACTATAGGATCCTATGAACCCGCACTAAAAATAAGAAAAATACTAAAAACAATAGTGAAACATAGTGAAAACAATAATGTTAAATAATGAAAATAATAAAGAAAATATTGAAAATAATGAAAAAAATGAAGCAAAAAGTGAAAATGAAAAATGGCAATTTCTAAGAAAAATCACAAACCAGCTTGCTTCTCTTCCTTTCTCCCCTGACTTTCCGCAGCGGCAGACCGCTTTTACATTGCAAGTTGCACGGTGCAGCGGTTTGGCCCCTTCAGAACTTTCGTTTTTTATCACGCCCAGAACGTCGCGCTCCAACGGGGTTAAGGAGAAGGAGGAGGGGGGGCAGATGCGTTCGAATCCCTGGATGGCAACCTCCGATGGCCTCGCGAGCCTCTTGTCGCGCACGTACTGGGCCCGCGCAAGGCGTCGCTGAGGCCCCTGAGACGACAATGGCAGCGGCAAAACTGAAGGGAACCAAGAAGCTGAAGGGGCAAAGCGGTCGCACCGCTCCTCCTCCTCCCCCCCCTCCTCCTCCTCCTTTTTTCATCCTCCTCCTCTTCCTTTTCGTCCTCCTTTCGGATAACCTGCAAAACGGTCATTCCCAGAATCAGAATTTAAGGGGCAAAGCGGACGCGCCGCTGTTCCTCTTCCTCCTACTCCTCCTCCTCCTCGTCCTCCTCCTCCTCTTCCTCGTCCTCCTCCTCCTCGTCCTCCTCGCCCTCCTCCTCCTCCTCCGGCCCCCCCTCTTTTTTCCCCCCCCCCCCCTCCCCCCCCCCCGCCCCCCCCCCCCTTGGATGCCTCGCAAAGCGTCGCGCGCGACGGATCGGGGCACGACGGGGGGCAAAGCGGACGCACCGCTCTTCCTCCTCCTCCTCGTCCTTCCTCCTCGTCCTCGCCCTCCTCAACCCCTCCTCCCCTCCCCCCCCGCCTCCTCTCCCCCCCGCCCCCCCTGCCTCCTCCGCCTCCTCCTCCTCCTCCTCCTGCCCCTTCCTTCCCTCCTCCCCCTCCTCTTCCCCCCCCCCACTGGATAGCCTCGCAAAGTGGCAAAAGCGGTCTCACCGCTCCGATTGTCTCTCCTCCTCCTCCCCCCCCCCCCATCCTCCTCCTCCTCGCCCCCCTGTCTTCCCTTGGGTAGCCGCGCGAAGCGGTCGCGCCGCTAAATCTCGACAGCGATGGCCGATTGCGCTTTTTTTCTCAGGACATGCTCTAGCAAGTGCAATCGCGCCAGCGCTCGACGCTTGCAGGCACTTCGGCGCCTGCGGGTACTTATGCCATACCCACCAATAACAGCGTTCCAGAAGCCTCTTGTGTCCAGAGAGGCTGCGCCATGAAGGAGTCGCACTGCGCGAACTTCGGGGCGTCGCCCTTTCGCCACCGTGAGGCGCTGGGCAACACCTGGCAAATAAAATGCAACTCGTGAACAATCAACGCCACGTTGCCGCCTTCCTCGGCACCACCGAGGATAAAATAGCGCTTCTCACCAATACGCAGAATATCTCCAGCTGATATGCGAGAGCCACCCACAAGAACGACCTTCGAAACGTCCATGACGTCGTTGCATTTGATGCCGCCCACCAAGGCATTCCCACCTGAAACATTAAGTTGCGCATCGTGGCACTGAAGGGCAATAGCTCGTATCAGTAGTGGTTTCTCGAAGCACCGCGCGTTGTCGATGCATTCAGCGATCAACAGTGGCTTTTTATAGTATCTCTCCGCCACAAGCGTATCAAGTGCGAACCCACCCCTGAGCACCTGTCGCGGCCGGCGCCTGCAGAAATGAAGCTTTGGGATGTGCATGCCGCAATCACCGTGCGCAGACTCGAAAGCCACGGCGTGGTCGCGGAGCGCCACGGCCCCAGCATCTGCCACAGCCGCGCCCCTCTTGGCCAGCAAATACAGAGAAATTGATTTGGCCAGCGCGGCAAAGGAAGCCAGTTCCTTTGCAAAGTCCAACTTGAACTGAGCGGACCCAGCGGTAAGTACATCGAGAGCGTACCGAATGAGCGGAACGGCCGCGATGATCTCGCTCGCCTTGGCGCTGTATTTCTTGCTGGTATGCAAGTGCTTTTGCCGCTGGTCGCTGAAAAGCCCGCTGGCGTCCAGCATGCCGCTGGTCGCTGGAAGAGCTGCAAGTCTGCCACTGCGCGCTGGCGGTGCCCCTGAAGAGCTCCAACGTCAGGCCGACGGCAGCGAGGCGGCGCAGAAACTCACTCAGTTCAACCTGAGCGATCCCATTTATGATCATGCAGTGTGCTGGGTCGTACGCGCGCGTGTCCAGCGACACGTGCTGGCGAAGCTCAGCGTCCAATAGCAAACCATCTGGCACGTGATTAACGCCGCGCATCTTGCATTGCTCCTCGAACGCGCCCTTGGGCAGCGTGGCTTGCAGACGCTGGGGCGGGTCCGCGGAGAAGAACAGGTCCTCCGCGGCGCGCGCGTCGAACAGGTTGGGATCAGAGCACGAAATGGGCACCAGCGTGCTCGCCCTGTCACGCGCTGACAGCAGGGGCTCCGAGCGGTCGTAGATGCCGTGCACATCCTTGCACAGAGCGCAAGGAATTACGCCAGCGGCGCCCTTCAAGCACAAGGCATTTTCAGCGCCATCTTCGTCGCAAAGCAGGTTCGACAGCTTAAAGAAGATGAGCGCAGGGGCGCCGCCAGGCCCAGTGCCATCAATGAGGATGCCCCTTTGCGACGCGCTGTCTGGGCCAATAAAAAGCCGTCGCAACAGTTGGCGAACGACTCCAGACATCTCGCCAGCAACCTTATCGACCACTGCGCGGCGAACAAAAGCGAGAGGCAACCAAGCGCCCTCGCTCGACACCGCGTCAGGGCCGAAGGAGCGGAAGCCCCCGTAAAACGAGAGCGTATTGCGTCTGTTATACTGCCGCAAGATATTGCCTGGCACGAACTCATCGATGCACAAGATGAAGTCCCACGGCGCCGCTGGGGAGCACGGGAATTTTCTTAAAATTGCGGACAGCAAATTTCTGAAGCTCGCATTTCCTTAAGCGCAGCGTTGAAGGAGGCTGGCGAAACTGGCGAAATTGACGACGGGCATGTCGAAGGCCGTGCCGCTTGCCAAGTTCAGCTGTATTGGCGCATCCAGACATGCTGATGCGAATTCCTCGTGGGCCTTTCTGATCCTCCACTTCGCCATGTCGTCAATGATCTCTGGCTGCTCCTTCAAGCAGCGCGCAGCGCCGATCACTGACGCGTTCGACGCTTTAAACGAGGCAACCAGCGGAGCCAACGCGCGCGACCTCTTGGAGACGTTCTCGCCCGCATCGGAGCTTGAACGTTTCATCGGGGATGGGGCTGGCTTGAGCAAAAACTGGCTCGAGCCAGAGCTGGCTCGGGCGAAAGCTGGCCTGAGCCAGCGCTACGGTTGAGGCGGCGCTGGGCGGAAGCATCGGCATGAACGCGCAGGCGCAACAAAGCGGTCAGACCGCTGCGCTGATGCAAATACAAGCGAAGCGGCAATGCCGCTGCAAGTTGAGAAGGACACCACTATAGCAAAGCGGCAATGCCGCTGCAATGCAACTACAAGTAAAGCGGCAATGCCGCTGCAAGTGAAAATGACACCATCAGCAAAGCGGCAATGCCGCTGCTGCACGCGACAACATCATGATGCATTCCGCGGCTGGAGAGGGGGGATAAGCGGTTAACTCATGCAGGAGGGGAGGGGGGAGGAGGAGAAGGAAGAGGGGGAGGAGGAGGAGGAGGAGGAGGGATGCGCGTTTGCTATGGGAACTGCATCGGCGCGGACTGCTGAGAGGAGCAACGCAGCAGCTCCCGATGTATACGACGCTAGCAAGGGGAGCAACGAGCTCCTTATATATCCCACGCGAGAGCGGTTGCGTCCGCTGCGCGCCCCTGCAAGCACGCTCAGACGCCCAGGTAGCCACCGCCACGGTCATGCCATCGGTAACCAACCCGTCGATGGAGACTTACTCCGAAGTGATCTGGCCAGAGCCCCAGTGGATCACTTCTTTTTGGCCCACGACTGCGTCTCGAAAGCAGCCTCGATATTCTTCATCCACGCTGTCATGTAGTTGACAGCCGTCTTAACCCCCTCCTCCTTGACGTCTGGGGCGACATCCTCGTCCTCCAGGCACTTGTTGCAATACTCCACAACATCATTCAGAAACTTCTGCTTTTTGGTGGCCCCCTCAGTGTACGTCGTCGGCGCCTGAAATGAGAGGGGGCGACTCCCCCCTCCTCCTCCTCCTCCTCCTCCTCCTCCTCTTCCTTCTCCTCCTCCTCCTCTGCCTCCTCCTCCTCCTCCGCCTCCTCCTCCTCCTCCTCCTCCCCATCGTCAGATCCGATCTGACTCCGTCGCCTTCTTCGCGCGCTCATCGCGCAGAAGATCCCCCGTCTTCTTCAGCAGTGGCTTCACCGCCAACAGCACCTTGTTAACGGTCTGCAAGCCTTTGGTGCGCTTCTTCTGTTCCTCCCTTTTGCGGGCTGCCTCCTCTTTGGCCATCTCCCTGTCCATGGTTTTCTGAATCTTCTCAGCCTCGCGGGCCGCCTTCTTCTCTGCTGCGAGCTTCGCCTTGCGCTTGGCCGCGAGCTCCTTTGGGCTGAGGCCCGCGTCAGACCCTGAAAGCCCTTCCTCGTCACCGTGCTTGCCTTTCTTGTCCTTCTTGCCTTCCTTGCCCTTCTTTCCCTTCTTGCCCTTCTTACCCTTCTTGCCCTTCTTCTTTTCTTTTTCTTGTCGGAGCTCGAGGAGCTGGAGCTGCTGCTGCTGTCGCTGCTGCTGCTGCTGCGCTGGCGCTTCTTTGAGCCATTCTGCTTCGGCAGCTCCGCTGGAGCCTCCTCGAGCGCCGCTGCTGCCCCTGCCGCTGTTGCGCTCTGCGGCTTTTCAGCTTCCTCGGCAGCCCCCAGGAAGGCTGACGCTCTGCGCTTGCGATTGCGGTCAACTGTTTTAGCTATCTCCTGCATGGTGACCTCCTTGATCCTGGCCTCCGAGATCTCGTGGATCTGAACCCGGTACGTCTTCCCGAGAACTGGATGATCCTCGATGTCAGCAGCCTGTGTTTTCTCCTCAATATCTTTCGTGTTGTATCCCAGCTTCTCGTACGCAGACAAGGGCAGGAATTGCCCAGTGTGGGTCTCCGTGATGCGCTTCATGCGCACATTCATCAGCATCCCCTTCATCGCGTCGCGGCAAGCAGCAGCGGCTGACCCGCAATTCTGGTAGAAGTGATCCTGCTCCTCCGTGGTGAGCTCGTCGAACTCCGCAATCGGCCACCCGCCGAAATCCTTCGAAGTGTTTGGTCGCGTACCCTGCACGTGGCACACGTGATGACCGTGCCGCCATGGGTGATCTTACAACCCTGTGCAAGCGGATTCGTTTCCTTCTTGCACATGGAGCATTTCGGGTCGCCCTGCGAGAGCAGGGCCTCAACCTCTTCCCCCCTCTTGTCGTCGTCCGACAGCTGCTCCACTGGCACGTCCTCCTCTTCAGCCTCCTCGCCCGCCTCCTCTTCAGCCTCTTCCTTTGTTGCCTCTTTGTCAGGCAGGGTGTCCCTTGTTGCCTCTTTGTCAGGCTTTGTCGCCTCCTTGGTTGCCTCGGGCTGGGGCGGACAGGGCGGGCGGGCGTCGCTCGGGGATTCTGCCGGCGCGACCTCGGGAGCGCGGGCGACGGGCTCGTCGGCGGGTTCGCCGACAGGCTCGCCTGCTGCTGGCTGAAGGCTGCCTGCGACAGCGTCTCCCGCCTCTTCGGTTGGCGCCTCCTGGCTGCCTGCCGCGGTCTGGCGCTGGAAGAGCGACTGCAGCACGTTCTGAGCTGCCACTGGTGCCATGGGAGCAGGGCTGTCGTCGGAGAAGCTGGGCAAGGTCGTCATCATCGCGTTGGCGATGACCTGTGCTGCGTCTGCTGCATCAGTAGCATCGCCTGAAGAGGTGCGGGGGAGGGGGGTCGGGTGCCAAGCGGTCACGCCGCTGTGAGGGCATGAGAAAAGAGCGGATGGAGAGATGATGTGAGGGCACGAGAAAAGAAGCGGCATGATCGCCGTCATCGTCACAAGGCAGCGAAGCAACCTTGCCTTGACGCCGCTTCTTCGCCACGCGCTTGGACGCCATGGCGTGCGCGGGAGAACTTCCGACGAAGGCAGTCGCCTCGGGAAGCCCTTCAAGTGGCTGCGAACGGGAAGCGTGAACGCGGGAAGCGACCGCGCCGCTGAATTTGCAGAGCAAAGCGGGTAGACCGCTGAGGAGAGGGGAGGCGGGCGAGGACGAGGAGGAGGAGGAGGAAGAGGAAATGCATGCGACAACTGCAAGGCAAAGCGGCTGGGCCCGCTGAGGAGGAGGAGAAGGAGGAGGGGGAGGAGGGAGAGGGCGAGGAGGACGAGGTGGAGGAGGGCCCAAAACATATAGATCACTGATCTGTCTGGTTTCGGCCGCTCTTCCCCCCCCCTCAGGGACCACGCAAAGCAAAGCGGCTGCGCCGCTGAGGAGAACGCGGAAGGGGGGGGGGGGAGGAGGAACTGCGCGCGGCGCCTCCTCGACGGGGGGCGCCACCCTCCGCTACGCTCATGCGGGCGCAGGCGGGGAGCACAGCTCCCGATTCGAAACGCGCGGCGCGCGGATTCACTCAGTGAAGCCGTCGCCGCTGGTTGGCGCGCCTGTCCCTCTCGCCGTCCTGGGCAGCGCGCGCCTGAGCCGCGATCGCCAGGCGCTCGTCGACGAGCTTCGTGGCCGTGTCCGCGTCGACGGTGAGTGGCGCCTCACCTCAGCATCGGTTAGCCTAACAACCCCATGTAGCCCCCCACCAGCCCACCCCCTCCCGCCGCCCCCGACATGGGGATATACACCCCGAACCCCCAGGCATTCCGCCTATATCCCCATGTCGGGGGGTAAATCCCCTAGTGGAGAAAAGGCCACCGAGATGGGGACAGGGTTCGGTTAAACGATGCTCATCACCGAAGCTCGCTCGGCAATTCCGAACGCACTGCAGGCAGCAGCGGTGCCGCCAGGAGCCGTCCTGCGCGAAGTGCCACGCGTCCATGGCGGCTGCGGGGCCGAGGGCGCCGCGCGTGGCGCAGCGAGCATCCCAGGCAGCCATTGAACGAATTCTCGAATTCGGTTGGGCGAATTCAAAAAACTTGAAGCCAAAAACGGCTGCGACGAAATCGTTATCCTGTCCTCCTCCTCCTCCTCCTCCTCCTCCTCCTCCTCCACCTCCTCCTCCTCCCCCCCCACGCAAAGCGGTTGGGCCGCTGAGGAGCAGCATGGGGAGGCAGGAGGGAAGCGAACGCAAAGCGGTTGGCCCGCTGAGGAGGGGGGAGGAAACGGAATGAGGGAGGTGACGAAAGCGCTTGGCCCGCTGAGGAGGGGGCAGGGGGGCAGGTGCCCAATCAGACAAAACAACAAAACAACCAGCAGCAACAAAAGAACAAACCGCTACAACAACAAACAACAACATAGAACAACACACAAACAACAAACAACAACATGTTGTTGTTTGTTGTTTTATGCTGTTGTTATGTTGTGTTTGTGTTGTCTGGCGTTGCCTGGCGCCCGCCCTACAAGACAACACAAAAACAACAAACAACACCATAAAAACAGCATAAAACAACAACAGACAACAACACAACAACAAACAACAACATGAAAACAACACCCAGCCAACATCCAGCTAACATCCAGCCTGCTGCCAATGGGAAGGGGAGGAGGGGGATTGGGGAGGAGGATGGGGGGGGGGGGGCGGAGGGGGAGGAGGAGGAGGGGGAGGAGGAGGAGCGGCAAGAGGATAGAGGAGGAGTGCTTGGGGGGGGGGGGGGGGGGGGGGGGGGAAACGAAGAGGGGGAGAGGGGGGGCGAGGGGGGCAGAGGGGGGGAAGAGGGGGGAGGAGGAGGAGGGGAAAGATGATGGAGTAGGAGAGTTAGGAGGAGGAGAGGAGGGGGGAAGGAGGAGGAGGGGGAGGAGGAGGGGAAAGAGGA